GTATCCAAAAGCGATATATGTACTTGATTAGTTTTAAAAGTTGATTTTGTAAAGACTGAAGTAATGATTAGTGCATATTCGAGCAATATTTGCGATTTCGGGCTCATTTCTCACAGCAGTTTTAAAATTGCAAAATTCTCTGTTCAACTAAACAATTTAAACAAAATTCTACAACTGTCGCGTTATCAGAAATGTTCGTTTATTTTAATCTAAAAAATTACAAGTTCTCGGCCTTATCGCGTGCTTGCTAAACAAATTCTAGACCCCAGAGTCGTGACTTATTTAAAAGCTTAGACGCAGTGGCGGCTTACAAGATTTTGCTTTTCAGTAAAGTTAATCACTCAGTGTGTGTGTGAGTATGTGTGTGTGTGTGTGTACACATGAGAACAATAAGCAGCAAAGCGCAAGTATTTTAATGAAAAACAGGCATCTGCAGTAGGGACTCATGGCTCGTAAGTGCAATGGGGAGGTATAATTTAATGCACTAAGTGCTTTATGATAAATATGTACAAGCTGTAAGAGTTTCTGCATACAAATTCATGTAAAGGAATTCAAGTTTTTTAGTTGCTTAAAAGTTTCTATAGTTTTTTCCCAGCACATTCCCAAAGCTAACTTTTCTAACTGAGTTTAGGGCTTACATTATCTTTAATTTAAAGAAAATTTTATAATATGATATATTTGTACATGCTGTAAGAACTTATATATCAAAGCTTTTTTCTCAGCACATAACCTTAAAGCTACAGCTTTTCCATTTTTAGGAGATACATTATCTTTTTTTTATAGAAACATGTATAATTTGTGAACATGTTCATCTGTATAAACTGGTAGATCTCGAGAACTACGCAGAACAAGTTATCAGCATTCTTTAATACCTTTTCCCATTTCTATAATATCACTAAATATTGATTTTAAGTATTATATTTTTAAGGTATTACTCGATATTATGTTGTAGTTTTAAAGATTTTGTTTATTTAAAACAAATTTTCTTAAGGCAAAATCATATAAATTGGGCAATGCATAAATATTTTTAGTCATGAGTAATGTGCAATGATCGCTTGATGCCAATGTGTTTCGATATCATTAGTTGTGGAACTGTGTGAGAGGGTGTGAATAATAAAAGCAAATATGTGGCGTATCTGCGGGTTCGGGGCGTGACTTCATTTCGGATTTGAATGCTGCTGCATCATGGTCCACGTGTGACGGCTGCTAACTGTTCCACTAATTACATTACTTGGCCCGCAGCACACAAAATCATATTATTATTATGGGAGGCAACATTGGGCGTGCTTCAATTCCAATTAGAGTGTGCTCCAAGCGATCCATGTTGTGGGTGGGCACACACCTCCCCTCTCTCCCTCCCTCATTTTCTCTGCCCCCTTACTAATTGAATTAGTGTGTAATAATGCGGCAAGTGAGAGTGCCTACAGATACCAGAGCACAAATATCGTATGTACTTATAAATCAATTTCCAGTCAATCAGGCCGCAGAAAAATTTAAATAAAAAAAAAAGAAAATGATTTAAAATCGTTGAAGTTGTTTGACAGCGAATATGTGAGTATTAGATCAATATTAGACATGATCATAAACTATTTTCTGGGCTCTGACACTCAGCTAATATACTCATTATCTGTTTTAAAACAGTGCATATTAAATATATACATTTAATAATAGCTATATGACCGAAATATGTAGTTAAAAGTTGACGGAGCCGTATCTTTCAGCTTGTTACGGGTCTTGCACAGCGAATGGCCGCAAATTGTTGCCGCTTTTGTGCAAAATTTCACTTTAGCCTCTTGTCTACTGGCCCAAATTTGAATTTGGCAAAACAAAATAAAGCATTTGCCTTAGTTAACATTATCTTATCTGCTGCACAAGGCCCAATCTCCAACCCCATCCAGGTCCATGCTCATAATCGTATTAATTAAATATGTTGACACTCGCAGCGTATTTAACCTTTTCTTAATTTTGGGGTTCAGTGTAGTTAGACAACAGTTCATTGGCTTAAACTCTGACATATTTCGAGCTACGGAATTTCTGTTGTCTATTAACAAAATGTGGATGACACAGAGTTCGGTGGAGTACTTAAGTTCCGCTTTGTTTACTTATTAAATATATTTCAAAACATTGAAACTTGTTAAAGGTGCGTCTCGTAGATAACAAATGAATCTACTTGTGTTAAGGTTTGGCTTGTTATTATTTACAGTATTATTTTTCAATCCCAACTTAAAAGGTTTTTTTTCCATCTAATACACGTATAGAAAGCCTCGCTGCAAAAACGAAGACTGCAACGGAATATATTCGATTTGTATGTGTCAACGAGCTAATCAGTCATTGAATTAACAAAATTAACTAAAGAATTGGAAGGTGATTAATTAAAGCTACAATAGTCAAAGTAAACTTGTTGCAAAAACTAACCAATTTACAGAAATGAAAGAAATGGTCATTTGTTCATGTTGAAATCTTTAAAACGGATTCCAATTGGCAATAAAAACGTCATTACCAGTCATAAAAGCAAGCCCATCAGAGTTGAGCCCAGTATGCATTATGGTACACTATATTATAGCCATATAAATGGAGATTCTTCTTATATATGTAATTTATTACAAAGTGCATTTTTGTTGGTTCTTGCTGAGTGTTCCCTTTAGGGAAGCTTTACTGTGCTGTTTAAGGCAAACACATCATTATCATTATTTTTTTTTTTCAAACTTGTATGTAAACAAAACTGGAAGTTGCGGTATTTCAAATCTCACGGCCTTGGCAGCTGCTAGCCCCCTAAGATTATTATTAGAGAGAGAGAGAGAGAGAGGGAGAGAGAGAACAACAACAACTGAGTAAACTTGCGATGACAAGAACAAGTTGAGAAGTCAACGTGTCTGTAGGGCCCTCCCTTGTCAGTTGTTGCTATTTCAGTTGTTGTTGCTTATGCAACATTGGTTTTCAGCTTAATTTGACTTGCAAAGCATTTCACAAACGTCATCAAATAAAATTAAAAATGTGCCGAAAAATTTGTTTAGCTGCGAGACACAGAGAGAGATAGAGAGAGAGAGAACGAGAAATATGATTGGACAACGCAGAAGTCAAACATTTTGGATGTTTGCCAAAACCAGTGTTGCCAAATGCTTACCATAAAATTTAGCCTTTTAAAGTAAAACTATCAATACTTTTGAACCTTAACTATTCACAAAATTAGATGAGATTGTAACATAAGTAAATATTAAACATATTTTTAAAAATTTTTAATACAAAATTAAGTTTTTTATTGTAAATCATTTCCTCTTGAAACTAGCTTTTTTTGCAACTGAAAAGTTTGGCAGCACTGGCCAAAACTGACAAAAATACGATGCATTGCAACACGAGCGGAAAGCGAACATGGAATGTGAAGGAACAAATAAAACATTGAAGACTGCTCGAAAAATGTATACAAAATAATCGTATAAATTTACAGCTATTATTTTAACTGCATACAACAACAACAATAACAACGGCAATGGGCTGACATGCAACGGGACACACCCACAGCATAGAGGCACCAAGGCTAGAAAATAGGGAACAAAACACGAAGGGAAACCAATGCAAATGCAGTAACAACAAACGGCAAAAAAAACTGAAAAAGTCAACTTACCAAAACGGCGCTCTCACGCACCACCTGAGAGACGCTCTCTCTCAGCTGTGCGGCCATGCCCGGCTTATTCAAGCCGCGCGTGAATTTACGCTCCATTCTCAATTCCTTTTGCCTGCGTTCTTTTGGTTGTTGTTGTTGTTGTTGCTGTTACACGCACGCAGGGGTTAAACGATGCATGGAGAACAAGTTGTTGTCGTTGTTGTTGTTGTTGCTGTTAGTGCTGAAGCTTTTTTTGTTGTTTTTATTGCTTTTTTTTTGTTTGTGTGCGAACCGGCACTAACAGACAGGATGCGCTGGCTGCGCTGCCCGCTGCTCTGCTGCTGTATTTGCTGATGACTAATGCGTTATCCTGCGCTGACGCTGCTGCAGCTCAGCTTTTGCACAATACATATACAACCTTTGTAGCACCTTCAAAGGACACCCAGCGCAAAAATCTTTTTGTTATACACAAAACTGGACCACACACGCACACGCATACAATCGCACACTTTTAGGGCGCACACAGACACAGCATAAGACGCATATACGAGATTATTGTCTTCGTTTTGTTGCTTTTTACACAGCATCCAACTGTTTTTTTTTTCGAAACTATTTGTTTCACTTAGTTGAACTTATTTGCAGCTGTTTTACAAAAACTGGTGAACAGCTTTGCGCGTCTTGTCGAAATTGTATTAACCGTGTTTTGCTGTTCACTTTTGCTTTTAGCGTGTTTCGCGAAGTCTGCAGTGTTGCGCGTGTTTGGTGTTTTAAAAAATTGGTAAAACGCTCATTTGGCCTTTTAATCCGACGCGCACAACCGCACCGCACGAATTTCGAAGAAGAATACTTCCACCTAGCCCAAGTCGATAGTATGTGTGTGTCGAGTATATCGATAGAAAATGTTGCAAAGCAACATGTGTATTACAAGCACTTTAGCAACATGTTGTGCGAGTAATAGGTTGGCAGGTCTGGACATCAGCTGTTTCGTTCGCGGGTTCAAATAACAGCTGTTACCATTGTATTCAAAAGTGGAACGTGATTTTTGCTATGTTAAAATTTATTTTACTAAAAAGCAGGAGACTGCCTTTCATTATTAGTTTTTACCCGACAAGCAATTGGTCGTGTAAATTGAGATTAACTACGCAGAAAATGAAGTTCTGTTAAACTCAAAATGACACTGTTGTTTAGCTGAGCTGATATATCGATAAGCCAGTGTTGAAAACTGCAAAACTTAAAGGCGCGCAGAATGAATATTTGAATCTGTTCAAATCAATTTGTTGTTCGTTATTTGCAGATTAAGTTGATTCAGTAGCAGCTGCGAAACAAAACTATTCCCAAGCAGTAAATTTAATAAAAACACATCTCTTTATCCATTTTCAATGCATTTATTTTGTGAACATTCAGCGGTGCGCATAGGATAACATACAAAATGCTTGCAATTATGTGTAAAGTGATATTTAAAGAAGCTTAAAAACTACACAATAAAATTGTTTTGTTTTATTTAAATATATACAATAAACAATTTATAAATTCTCATTTAAATCTCAAAAAGTTATCCGCACCACCCAACGGTCCGTGACCGAAGTGCAGCGCATCCGAGGTGGACTCGGACCGGGTGCGTGCATCCAGAACGGAGGCGACACGCTGCTGGCCACTGATATAGCCCAGAGAGCCGGAGCCCAGATACACATTGCCATTGGGCAGACGAATATAGCCCAGGCCACCGGAGCCCAAGGCAATGGCATCGGTCTGACCCTGATTCTGGTTCTGCGAACGCGGCTGCAGGCTCAGCGCCTGCTGCTCCAGGATCAAGGCATTGGCGCGCGAGTCCAGCTGGAGGCCGCTGCCCGTGGCGCCGGTGCCGGTGGCACCCAAATGCGCCCGATAGCGATCGAAGAAGCCGGAGCTGAGGAACGGCGCCGGATTGTCGTTGATGTCGTTGTCGATAATCTCGATGACCGCGTACTGCTTCAGCTGGCGTCCATTGGCCACATACGACTCGCCCGGCGCGAAGAGCGCCTGCTTGCCATACGGAATGCGCAGCGGCTGTGCAGCAGCCGGAGCACTGGGCACATGGATGGGCTGCTGCAGCAATTGCGGCGCCGACTGCTGTCCAAAATGCCCCGCCTGACCATGGTAGCTGATGGAGGACTGCGGCGAGCCAAAGGACGGTGACGAGTAGCTGCTCACAATCGGAGCAGCTGGCTGCGCCGGCAGATAACGGCTTAGAATGCTGCCGGTGGGCTGCGGCCGACTCCTGGGAATGGGCACATGCGCTGTGGGCAGCGGCGGCAGCGCCGGCACCGGCGGCAGCGGCTGCACCGTGGGCAGCGGCGCAAAATGATGGCCCGTATAGATGGACGTGTCGGGCCCGCTGGGCGCCGATGGAGCCGTGCCAGGGCGATCGTAGTGGTAGCCTGCCGGCTCAGCTTGGATTGGCTGCAGTGCGACCAGCAGCAGCACGAGCCTGGGCAGCTGTGTCAACAAGCGATAACGAGACATCTGTAAGAAGAGAGATAGAGAGAGAGAGAGAGATAAGTTTCACATAACATCACACACACGTTTATGACATCATAATAATGATAATAGTTCCCTCCTCCTCGCCAATCAATCTTATAAATGTTTAATGAGACGCACAGACGTAAAACATAATTGACGAAAATCACTTAACGTTGACGGCTTACAGTTTTTTCTTCGTTGTTGTTGTTGTTTAAACTGTGGGTTGTTAATACCCTATTGGAGCTATACAGCATAACGACTGAGTTGTTCAGTTGGTAACCTATAATGGAATCTGCCTCTATATGTCTATAACTCGTCATATATAACAATAAATTATATTTAATACTAATATAATACGCTTTTAACTCATGATTGAACATAAAACAACAATAATTAAAAGAATATAATGCTGTGTGTTTTGTCTTCTTACTAACCTAATATTAACAACGAATTATAAAAATATATATTATTTAAATTTTATTTATTGATTCCCTTCAAGTTTCTTTATCTTAGTTTAAAAATTATTATCCTAGAGCTGAGAACAATTTTTAATGGTTTAAAATTATATGTTTAAAAGTTAGTTTGTTTAGTTTCTGCATAGAAAACATTTCCCTAATTTAACAAAGTTTTTCACTGCAATCTCATTTATTTTTCTTCTAAATTTCAAGTATTATCTATCTCAAGTTTTTCTTAGCTAATTTTAAGAGCTGAGCAAGATAACTTTCTGTTGCTTTCTTGAAATCTATGTTATTCTCTATTATAAGCTATATTTAAGAGCTGATATAATTTCTATATCTTTCTTTTTATACCGTGATATTCTTCATTTAATTTTTACTCTTCGAACATCTGATATATTCATATCTGAAAGTGAGTGTATCGCGAGTTTGCCCAAAATAAAATTACTTTTGTTAATCGTTTGTCGGTTCATTATAGGCTACTTGTTTTGTTAGAGTATTTATAGTTTGTGGCTGAGCGAGTTAATCAATTTGGGTGTATTGCTTTTTGTTATTTAATTGATTCAATTTGCGGCGCACGCTTACAGCAGCCACTGTGCGAGCTGTCGAGACTGCGGACTGGACTCCGACCAAGCTCTCAGCTTAACTCGAGCTGTGGCCCGTAATTGGCGTGATATTTCATGCATGGATTGAGTCTCGCATGTTGCCCAAGGCAACGCAGCCCGAGTCAGAGCCAGAGCCAGAGCCTGAGCCAGAGCCAGGCCAGAGCCAATCGGCATAATGGAGTGCAACTAATTAGCCGGCAAAGCGAAGTAAACAAACAAAGGAGAGAGGAGGAGCATCGCCGCATGCAAAAGTAGACGCTGGGCGGTCTTTAATCGGGCGTTAAATAGCATATTCACGAGCTGTCATGAACATTAACAATAACTCTTTTAGACTAGGGGCGAGGGGGGGGGGGGCGGACTGTAGCAGCATTAACGGCTCCACCCGCAGCCAGAGCCGGCGACTGATGATATTAATCAACTTGGAGCTGCGAACAGTTGCTGCCACAACCGGCGGCAGGTTCAAATGTGCTGCCACTGGGTGGACTACTTGCAACAGCAGACAAAACTCAAGACTTGTGGCGTGTGGCCACAATTGCCTCTGCTGTTGTTGTTGTTGTTCTCGTTGTTGTTGCTGTTGTTGTTGTCTAAGGTTGCGCGTGGGCGTCAAGTCAGCGCAGTTCATGGGAACATAATTCAAGCTATGCGCCGTGTTTACATAAACGCCGCTTAATTAAGCTATTAACAACAAAGCAACAACAACAATAGCAAGAAAACTAAAACTGGGGTTAAGGGTCACAATTGTAAGCCCAAGTTTAATTTTTAGTTTGAGCTAATTCTGCGAACGTGTCACATCATTTGATCACAAACTTAACTGCTTGTCAAAATAAACTATATGCTGAATTTTAATAGTCATATTAGTTAAAGGCAACGTTAGAATATAAAAGGAGTAAGAGGCTCTAGTCGGGAGCTCCCGATTGGGGGATACCCTGAACCCTCTTATAAAACTTTGATGTAAGCCTCCGATATTGACAGACAATCGATAGTAGGGATCCGTACGAATTCAAAAAGGTATAACATTTCAAAATCAGTCGATATTTACCCGAGATATTAAAAAAATATCATCAAAAAAGTTTTGATTTTCGAACCGACCCCGATTTTGAGGAAAAACGTGATGTAACCCCTTGCCATTTTGTTGATTTCGGTCAAAATTTATATTTTCAAGTTTTTAATGCCAATCGATAGTACGGATCCTTACGATTTAAAAATAGTATAAAAATTGAAAATCGGACAATAATTGGCCGAGATATGCCAAAAAATCATCAAAAAAGGTTGCCTTCATAAACGAATCGTTTTTTGGTCCACTGCTATTTTTAACCCATCGATTTTTAATTTGTTTGAATGCCAATTGATAGTAGGGATCCGCACGAATTCAAAAAGGTATAACATTTCAAAATCAGACGATATTTACCCGAGATATTAAAAAAATATCATCAAAAAAGTTTTGATTTTCGAACCGACCCCGATTTTGAGGAAAAACGTGATGTAACCCCTTGTCATTTTGTTGATTTCGGTCAAAATTTAGATTTTCAATTTTTTAATGCCAATCGATAGTACTGATCCCAACGATTTAAAAATGGTATAAAATTTCAAAATCTGACAATAATTGGCTGAGATATGCCAAAAAATCATCAAAAAAGGTTGCCTTCATAAACGAATCGTTTTTTGGTCCACTGCTTTTTTTAACCCATCGATTTTTAATTTGTTTGAATGCCAATTGATAGTAGGGATCCGTACGAAATCAAAAAGGTATAACATTTCAAAATCAGTCGAAATTTACATGAGATATTAAAAAAATGTCATCAAAAAAGGTTTTGATTTTCGAACCGACCCCGGTTTTGAGGAAAAACGTGATGTAACCCCTTGCCATTTTGTTGATTTCGGTCAAAATTTAGATTTTAAATTTTTTATGCCAATCGATAGTACTGATCCTTACGATTTAAAAATGGTATAAAATTTCAAAATCTGACAATATTTGGCCGAGAAATGCCAAAAAATCATCAAAAAAGGTTGCCTTCATAAACGAATCGTTTTTTGGTCCACAGCTTTTTTTAACCCATCGATTTTTAATTTGTTTGAATGCCAATTGATAGTAGGGATCCGTACGAATTCAAAAAGGTATAACATTTCAAAATCAGACGATTTTTACCCGAGATATTAAAAAAATATCATCAAAAAAGTTTTGATTTTCGAACCGACCCCGATTTTGAGGAAAAACGTGATGTAACCCCTTGCCATTTTGTTGATTTCGGTCAAAATTTAGATTTTCAATTTTTTAATGCCAATCGATAGTACTGATCCTTAAGATTTAAAAATGGTATAAAATTTCAAAATCCGACAATATTTGGCCGAGATATGCCAAAAAATCATCAAAAAAGGTTGCCTTCATAAACGAATCGTTTTTTGGTCCACAGCTTTTTTTAACCCATCGATTTTTAATTTGTTTGAATGCCAATTGATAGTAGGGATCCGTACGAATTCAAAAAGGTATAACATTTCAAAATCAGACGATATTTACCCGAGATATTAAAAAAATATCATCAAAAAAGTTTTGATTTTCGAAACGACCCCGATTTTGAGGAAAAACGTGATGTAACCCCTTGCCATTTTGTTGATTTCGGTCAAAATTTAGATTTTCAATTTTTTAATGCCAATCGATAGTACTGATCCTTACGATTTAAAAATGGTATAAAATTTCAAAATCTGACAATAATTGGCCGAGATATGCCAAAAAATCATCAAAAAAGGTTGCCTTCATAAACGAATCGTTTTTTGGTCCACAGCTTTTTTTAACCCATCGATTTTTAAGTTGTTTGAATGCCAATTGATAGTAGGGATCCGTACGAATTCAAAAAGGTATAACATTTCAAAATCAGACGATATTTACCCGAGATATTAAAAAAATATCATCAAAAAAGTTTTGATTTTCGAACCGACCCCGATTTTGAGGAAAAACGTGATGTAACCCCTTGCCATTTTGTTGATTTCGGTCAAAATTTAGATTTTCAATTTTTTAATGCCAATCGATAGTACTGATCCTTACAATTTAAAAATGGTATAAAATTTCAAAATCTGACAATAATTGGCCGAGATATGCCAAAAAATCATCAAAAAAGGTTGCCTTCATAAACGAATCGTTTTTTGGTCCACAGCTTTTTTTAACCCATCGATTTTTAAGTTGTTTGAATGCCAATTGATAGTAGGGATCAGTACGAATTCAAAAAGGTATAACATTTTAAAATCAGACGATATTTACCCGAGATATTAAAAAAATATCATCAAAAAAGTTTTGATTTTCGAACCGACCCCGATTTTGAGGAAAAACGTGATGTAACCCCTTGCCATTTTGTTGATTTCGGTCAAAATTTAGATTTTCAATTTTTTAATGCCAATCGATAGTACTGATCCTTACGATTTAAAAATGGTATAAAATTTCAAAATCTGACAATAATTGGCCGAGTATGCCAAAAAATCATCAAAAAAGGTTGCCTTCATAAACGAATCGTTTTTTGGTCCACAGCTTTTTTTTACCCATCGATTTTTAATTTGTTTGAATGCCAATTGATAGTAGGGATCCGTACGAATTCAAAAAGGTATAACATTTCAAAATCAGACGATATTTACCCGAGATATTAAAAAAATATCATCAAAAAAGTTTTGATTTTCGAACCGACCCCGATTTTGAGGAAAAACGTGATGTAACCCCTTGCCATTTTGTTGATTTCGGTCAAAATTTAGATTATCAATTTTTTAATGCCAATCGATAGTACTGATCCTTAAGATTTAAAAATGGTATAAGATTTCAAAATCTGACAATAATTGGCCGAGTATGCCAAAAAATCATCAAAAAAGGTTGCCTTCATAAACGAATCGTTTTTTGGTCCACAGCTTTTTTCAACCCATCGATTTTTAATTTGTTTGAATGCCAATTGATGGTAGGGATCCG